CCTTCCCTTCCCTTCCTTTTTCCCTTCCTCCCTCCCTCTCTCTCCTTCCTTTCCACTCCTTCCCTCTCTCCCTCTCTCCTTCCCTCCCTTCCTTCCTTCTTTCAAGTCTCCCAGGCTGGAGGGCAGTGGTAACATGATGGTTCATTGCAGCCTTGACCTCCTGGGCTTAGACGATCTTCAGCCTCAGCCTCCCAAGCAGCTGGGACCGCAGGTGTGTATCACCATGCCCAGCTAATTTTTTTATTTTTGTAGAGATTAAGTCTTGCTGTGTTGCCTAGACTGGTCTTGACCTCCTGGACTCAAGCAATCTTCTGCCTTCCAAATCCTGGGATTACGGATGTGAGTCGGCACCCGGCTGACTGTGTTTTTCAAAGTGCCTAATTCACAACATTCATTATAGAAAAGTCATCACACCGTCATTACACCATTGCAGAAAAGCCACTGCACCAGAACTACTGAGCTCCATGGTAGTTGTGGTGTTTGCTGGGCCACGTAGTTTTTCTCTGTGCTTATCTACATAAATAATAATGAAGCTTAAATAATATGAAGCGTCTCTTCTTGGTCTGTCAAAGCAATGCAGAGTTACAACTGGGAGTCTTTTCAGCAAATTTGGAGGGAAGTTTGGGAGAGTCTGACATGAAATAGAGGCCAGGAGAGGAACACAAAATCCACTTTTGCCCAGGTGAGGAAGACACTGGAAGGTTGGCGGTATCCCCTGAGCCGCTGATTGAGAATCAAGGAGGGACCAGATGACCACAGACCCGGAGGCAGGAGATCACGTGAGGCTGTCCAGAGAAAAGGTGAAACTCTCGGGCAGACCCTGAACCAAGGACTCCCATCACAGATCTGGGACTGAGCTGCCTCTCACACTGGCTCCTCCTAGGAACAGTCTGGGCTCCTGGGTCCCCAGGTCTCAGCACTTGGGTTTCAGCACATGCTGTTTGGAAGCTTGGTTTTCCAACTTGATACATCAGGGACATCTTTTAAATTAAATTAAATTTTAATTTCTTTTTTTAAGAGACAGGGTCTCCCTCTGTTGCCCAGGCAGTGGCATGATTATAGTTCACTGCAGCCTCAACCTCCTGGGCTCAGGTAATCCTCTCGCCTCAGCCTCCAGAGTAGCTGGAACTACAGGCACGTGCCACCACACCTGGCTAATTATTTTATTTTATTTTTATTTTTTGAGTCGGAGTCTCACTCTGTTGCCCAAGCTGCTAGGCTCAGGTGATCCTTCCACCTCAGTCTTCCAAGTAGCTAGGACTATAGGCGTGTATCACCACTCCCAGCTAATTTTTTGATTTACTGTAGAGATGAGGTCTCACCAAGTTGCCCAGGCTGGTCTTGAACCCGTGGGCTCAGGCAATCCTCTCACCTCGGCCTCCCAAAGTACTGGGATTATAGGCATAAGCCACAGGGTGTGGCCTAATTTTTTAATTTTTTTGTAGAGACAGGGTCTCACTATGTTTCCCAGGCTGATCTTGAATGCCTGGCCCCAAGCAATCCTTCCACTTGGCCTCCCAAAGCTCTGGGATTATAGGCGTGAGACACACGTGGCCAGAGGCATCTTTTCATGTCAGAAAACAGGTATTTTAAATGGCTGCCTAGTATTCCACAGAGCAGAGTCTCCATAATCATGCAACCACCCTTTCTGTTGCCCACACCCAATGGTAGTTCAAACTTTGGTAAACATCTTTGCATCTGAGAATATCCTTAAGATACATTTCCAGAGGAGGAGCTGGGATTATAAGCATGCACCACCACGCCTGACTTAATTTTTTAAAACTTTAATCTTAAAATAATTTGAGATGTGCAATAGATGATTTGTTTTTGAAACCAGGAAGATAGTATTATGGGAGGAATAAAGGAAGGGGATGGGGCAAGGCCATGCGCCCTAGCGGGCTGGGATGGGGATGCGTGGGAGGGAGCTTCGTGGGCCTCCTGAAGGAAGAACAGGCCAGGCTCTCCGTGACTTGCACTTTACATGCACAGTCCTAACTGTGAGGGGGTGCTAGTGTCATCTCCACTTTACAGATGGGGAAACTGAGGCACAGTTTGTGAGCAGGCTTCCCAGGGAGGGGCACTGGAGGAGAGTTCGGGGCATGGCTGACGGGGACAAAGCTGCCTGCTGAGTCAGTTCAAAGCTGCAATGAGGGAACACTGTGGGAGTGGCCATGAGGTGTAGGAAAGGAGGTGGGGAAGCCTGGGCACTTGCCCGGCCTGGCCCAGGGCAGGGGGTTGGGGGAGCTGCCCACCCACCTTGGCCTCCAGCACCTTCAGCCGCTCCGTCAGCTCTGATACTTTGCTGCAGTTGAGACAACCTGCAGAGAGGAAAGAGGCTGGAGCCAGGGTCAGGGGTCTCAGGTTCCCCCCTCAGAGCCCTTCATCTCCAGGGGCCAGGGATGGAGAAAGAAGACAGACACGTGATGACCCCAACCCATGAAGGAGCCAGGGGCAGGAAAGGTGTACAGAATCATAGCCGGTCCAGCAGACTACGCTGCCTGTGAGTTTTCTTCGACACTGAAGGCTCCAGAGTGGACCTGCTTCTCCCAGAGCAGGACCAGGGACCCGAATCCTGGCAGCCTTTGCCTCCCAACTGATTCCTTTCCCACAAACCAGGGTAGGAAATCCTGTTGCTTCCTGCCTGGGTGGGTTCGGGGCCAGGGCTTGCCAGCTTTGGGAACCGACACAGCCCAGTTTGGACTCTGTGGCCACACAGAGGTACCATCCTATGACCCTTCCCTGAACCACTGTCTACCCCCTCTGGCCTCCTCAGCGAGACATGTGAATCATGAATAAGAGCTCCAGATATTTATGGAGCCCCCCAGCAGCCGGCATTATACCAGCTGGTCTCTCCAGTCCTCACGACTCTACGTATGAGGGGAGTGTCACCCCCGTTCACACCTGAGAACACTGAGCTAGGGCAGGGGTGGCATGTGTGTCTAAAAGCACAACACCTGGGGTCCAGTCCCAGCGCTGCCCCCTCCTGGCTGAGGATCCTTGAGCAGGGCCCTTCTCTGACCCTCAGCTTCCTCCTCTTTAGCATGGAGACAATGGTGGGGGAGTGGACAGCTGTGAGGTTTAAACTAGCTTATGATGGGAAGTGCCTGGCACAGGACCTGACACATGGCAAATGCTCAGAAAAACATTCTCTAAATAAAAAGAGGAGAGCGGGAACTTGGGCCTGTGTCTCCAACAGTCCAGGAGTTGTGGGGCTCAGGGCGTCTGGGTCCAGGTCAGATGGCTTTCTGGGGTCCTTCCTCTGCCCCTTGAAGTTCTCTTTCCAGTCTAGGTGGGTGAGAGTGAGGTACTGTCCTTGATCCTCCACTACTGGACCCTGCTGGCTTTTAGGGCAGTTACCATACTGCTCTGGGCCCCCTCCAGTCCAGGGGAACCCCCAGAAGCTGCCCCAGGACCCACCTGAGAAGGCCATGGGCCGAAGTGCCATCCGCCGCATGGTGTTGCCCGACCACACGGGCTCCACGAAGCCGGAGGAGCCTGCAACTGAGGGACAAAGGGGGTGAGAGCCCTGCTGGCCTGTACCACACTTGCCTCCTTAGGTCTCCCTGCTCCCCACTGAACCCCAGCAGGGATCCCTACTTCCCCCAGTGCGGGGCACAGAAGCCAAGAGAGGTGGGCACTTTACCTGAGCATGAACTGCACTGAGCTGGAGTAAGGCTGGCCATCTGATGGGACTGGTGACAGGGTCTAGCAATGGGGTGTGGGCTGTGGACGCAGCCGGGGGCTTCCCCAACGATCCCAGTCGGCTGCACAGGTAAGAGCTTAGAGCTAACAGACAAGCTAGAGTCCAAGTCCTGTCATTTACTGACCCGTGTGACTTGTCTCTGGACCTGCCTATTCTCTCATCTGTAAAATGGGACACTAAGGCCTCCATGCCACCCAGGCTGATGTGAGGCTTGAGAACCGCCATGTGTGCGAAGACTGTGCACACACAGGGCCTGGCGCACAGTGGGCACTCAATAAACAGCAGCTGTGACTGTCACTGTCCAAGCTCTCCCTGCCCTGCTTGGTAAGAAGAGACTGAAGTGGATCCAGCCCTGGTTTTAAATGAAAACCAGAGGGAGGCTGGCTGCCTGGGAGGGCAAGGGGAGCCTTGTCCGGGAGCCCACCCAGCTGCCACCCCTATACCAGGAGGAGCAGCCGCCCTGGCTAGTCTGACTTTGGGGTCTGGTTTTCTCCACAGCTGGAGGGGAGTGTTGGCCAAGCCAGGGGTGGGGGCACAGCTGGAGGGGTTGTGGAGCCAGCAGTGGCAACTACCCTCCTCGGCCCCCCAGGTCTGCCTTTTAAGGGCATGGAGTGTTTCCTGGGGGGAGACAAGACCCAAATAAGGCGTGGGCCTGGCAGCTCAGAACTGGGTTGTGGGTTGATGTAGGGAGCGAGCGGCGCCGGGAACTCAAACCAGACGGGTCCCTCTGGCCAGCCACCAGCAGGAGGCTGCCAGGCCCTTCTCCGGGTCCCACCGCCGGGCTTTCACTTGGGCTGTGCCGGCATCCCCAGTGCACCCTCCCCAAGGGCCTGTGACTTGCCTGGGAACAGAGTAAATCTTACCTAGGACAGAGGAAGGTGGGCGACCAGCCCAGGACAGGGGCAGGCATGGGGCTCTCTCTGCACAGGGGAGATGTCACTGTGAACCACGTCCATGCTAAGTGCTTTACATAGCCCGGCCCAATCCTATAAGGTGGGTAATAATAATAACAGCCAGTCCTTGCTTAGCACTTGCCCTGGGCCTGGTACAGTCTATGCACTAAACATGTAGGTTTTTTGTTGTTGTTGAGAGACAAGGTCTTGATATATTGCCGAGGCTAGTCTCGAACTCCCAGGCTCAAATGATCCTCCCACCTCGGCCTCCCAAAGTGCTGGGATCACAGGCATGAACCACAGCACCTGGCCTCACATATAGTCTTAATGTGAGTGGGTGCTAGTATACCTCCACCTCACAGATAAGGAAACTGAGGCACAGAGCAGCTTAATCCTTCCTCTCCTCTATCCCCCATGCTCAGATAAATGAATGAGTAAATGAGACTCATCCTTACTTTTCCCTTTGGAGGAACCAAGGCAGAGGATTGAAGTGATTTGCCCACAGTTGTCCCCAGGAAAGTCTCAAGCCTGGATCTGAACCCAGGTTGGTCTGATTCCAGGGCCCAATTTCTTTTTTCTTACACTACCCAGCAGGAAGACCCAACATCTAGCAGGAGGGTCAGTGGCTGAGAAAGATGGCCTTGCCAAGTCCTCTTCATCCTCTTTGCTCCCAGGTGGAGACATACTGTCACTTTAGTACTCTGATTTTTTTTTTTTTTTGGAGACAGAGACTCACTGTCACTCAGACTGGAGTGCAGTGACACAATCCCAGCTAACTACAGCCTCAACCTCCTAGACTCAAGCAATCCTCCCATCACAGCCTCCCGAATAACTGGGACTACAGGTACATGCCACCGTGCCTAGCTAATTTTTTGACTTTTTGTAGAGACAGGGTCTCACTATGTTGCCCAGGCTGGTCTTGAACTCCTGGGCTCAAGCGATCCTCCCACCTGGGCCTCCCAAAGTACTGGATTACAGGCGTGAGCCACCATGCCCAGCCTTTTCAAGAAATTGACCAAAAGAAGCAGCCTTGTGAAGTTTGGGTTTTCTCTGTGATGAAGCTTTGGCTTCTTCCTGCCCTCCCAACCCCTTTCCCTCTCTCCCCGTTACCCTGCTATTTTCTTCCATAGCACTTCCTGTCTTCTAATGTGCTCTTGACTATACCAGTTCCCAAGCTACTGCCTGTCATCTGGGTCCTGCCTGGAACATCAGCCCCGCCAGACAGAGAAGACCAAGTCTGTCTTGTGGTTGTCCTACAAAGTGTCCGGCACCCAGTAGGGCCTCAAGGACTTTGGTTATAAAACTGTTGATGCATGCATGGATCACAGGCTGAAAATATATTTCAAGTAAGCAAACAAAATAAAAGGCAAACACAAAATAAAAGGCAAACATATGCTGTCTTGAAAATCTGCATGAATGTCTAATATCACACCAGGGTGTCTCTGAGTTATTAATCTGTAAACTTGTGGCTAGAAATTCTTTCTCAACCAATTTGTCTTTGGAAGTTTTACCAGGAGCCAGAGAGAATTAGAAAAACTAACAAAAACCCAGCCTGACCATGGCACAGATGTAAGGAGCTCAAAGTAGTTAAGAATTTAAATTAAAAAACAAAAGAAAACTTAAAGAAATAACAACACTGACAGTGTCTTTTTGACACTGTCAAAAAGACCAGAGAATGTTGGCTTTGGATTCAAGATTTTTAAAAAACTCCCTCAAATTCTGATAACTGAACAGAAAATACCTTAAGGGTTAGATAGACCAGGTTGTAAAACGGCCCTATGACACACAAAATTCCAGGAAGGAGAAGCCACAGTTTGGGGAGGTCTCCAGTCGGACAAAAAGGTTACATCTTTCGCCCTGGTGTTTGGCTAGGGACTCTGAAACAGGCTCAAGTGTGCTGAGAGCTCCCTTCGCCCTGGCCTGGTGATCTCCCCTGAAGGGCTTCTCCCCGGCCCCAACCTCATTCTTCCAGGAGGGCCCTGAAGGCTACTCCAGGACCACCAAACCCCACCTCCACTCTGGGAGCCTGACTGTGGGCCCCTTCTCACTATCTGGGAAGTCCTCACATGCCCTATGCAAACACACACACACACACACACACACACACACACACACACACACACACACACACACACGTGCGCACGCGCGCACATACACTGCCTCCCTGTACCCTTCCCCAATACCTACAGCTGCTGAGCCCATGTCACCTTTTCCAGGAAGTGTTCCTGGAAAGACCAGGGCACCCATCAGTACCCAAGCCCCCCTTGGAGCACTCATTGCTCCCAGTTTTGACATCTATAAGCCAGTGTTGTCAGTAGTTTCTCACTCTGGGCCCCACAGGCAGTTCTTCTTCCCCTTCCTGATGCCAGGCCTGAGCTAAGAGGCTTTGTGCTCCTTCTCATGGGGTCCTCATGATACTCCACGACACAGATGAGAACATGGAGGCCTAGAGGAGAGGCTGCCTGCTCTGCCCACGCAGCAGGATGAGGGAGGCTGGGATTCCAACCCTGCCCTAAACTCGGAACAGGGTGAAAAGCTGGGGGTGTCTCTGGGCTCTGCCTCCATGACTTTCCCTCCCAAGAGAAGAGCCATGGGAGGGGCTTCCTCATCACAATAGATCTGCTCAGTGCAGTGACCACAGGCCACAGGGAAGCAGCCTGCTCAGCCCTGGCCCAGGCCTCCTGCAAGGAATTTACTTTGCAAATATAAATATTAGCTGCTGGTGGCCGGAGGCTGGGTCTAGGGTCAGAGCTGGGCTTGGGAGCTCCAAGAACCATCCAGCCCAATCAGGAGGCCTCTGGGAAGGCTCAGCCTATGTCTGGCCTGGCCTCCTATTTGGAGCGGGCTAAGTTCCCATCGATTCCTTTATGTCTGGCCCCTGCCAGGCACCGAGGCATAGAGATAATAATGGCAGGGTGGAGGGCCAATCTATCCAGAGGAGAACACCAAGAGGGTTGCAGGCAGAGGGGTTGGTCCCTGCCAAGACCATGGGTATGAGAGCAGGCCAGTGTGGGTGGGGGCTAAATGGAGGGAGGGCTGGGGGAACAGACACTGGGCCTGGATCCTGCGGGCAGTGGTCAGGAGAGCTGAGGGGCAGCACCCTGGCTGTGTGTGCAGGACGGGTTGGCGGGAGGTGAGGGCTGCTGGGCCTCCGAGACAGGAATGGGAGGGGATAAGTGGTGAACATGGCGGGTTTGCACAGTGTTTGGCCCTCAGGACTCTGAATCTGCAGAGTGAAGCTCAGGTTTGGCACCACACCTGGCGCCTGGTTAGAACACAAGAGACGTGTACGGGAAAGGCCCAGCCCCGGAGGGTGGGCGAGGCCAAGAAACCCAGGAAGAGCCCAGGGTGGAACCTCAGTCTGTTCTTAGGCTATTTTGCGGTGTGACCCTTGGGCAAACATCCCCTCTCTCGTCCCCAATCATGGAGGACAAGAGCTGTGGGGACCACAGATGGGGAAGGGGCATGTATGCTGAGGACAATGGAGCCTACGGGGAGATGGGGGAAGAGAGGCAGCCTGGCTTTGCAGAGCCCATGGTGAGAAGAGGGCGAGGGAGCCTCAGTTTATCTTTCCATCTAGGAGAGGCTGGGGCTGAGATTGGCTTCAGTCAGTCCCATGGTGCCCCAACGCTCTGAACACACCCCCTGGAAGTTCTTAGCCGGTGCTGCTGCAAAGACTCCTGGTTCCAGAGTCAGACTGATTGGGCTGGGAATCCAGCGTCTCAGCTCACAGGGAGTTATCCTGGGTGAGACATTCCGCTCTTAGCCTCAGTTTCCACATCTGGGCCCTCTGTACCATGACACGATGGCACAACACAGGTGGGTATGCACTGCAGTGCCCAGCATGGAGGCCAGTGCTTTTCCTTCCCTTGTCATAATTACCGCAGGAGGGTCTGGGGCAGGACACCACATAACTCAGGTCAGCACCCTGGGGAGAAACCTGGCCATAGTGCTTACTTGCTGTGTGATTTTGTGTGAGACGCACAATCCCACACCCTCTCTGAGTTTTCTTTCATCATCTGAACAACAGGGCTGATGGGTGAGAGATCTTTCTGGAGGGAACCCCTAGTGGCTGGTTGGCAGAGGTTGGCCACAGCAGCCCTGCTCTCAGCAAGAGCCTACCAGCCCAGGGCATCTGGTGTGGGAGGGCGGGGATCAGGCCCAAGACCAGAGAAGGTGATTGTTGGGCTCTGCCTGTCTTCTCAACATGGTCTTGGCATTGAGGCTGCACTCTGCCTGCCTCCGGCCCATACTCTGACCATATTGAAAAAGTGGGAAGATACTGCTTTCAGGTTGTCCTGACTCACTGAAAGTTAAAGCAGAAATATTTACAAAGTAAACATTCAACTGGATAAATGATATAGTCCTTGGTAAATCTCAGTCCTATTTAATATTCCTTTTCCCTGCTGTTGCCTCCAGCTATTCTGAACTCTGCTGTATCTTTAAACAAATAGCACACTCCTTCCTCTGGACTCATGCATTCTGGCTTTGGCTTCATCCTGGCCTATTGTTTCTGATGAGAGGGCTGCCAGGTGAGAGCTCAGCCAGCCAGTCTCCCCAAGCCTGGAGGCACAGAAGCTTGGCTCTCACTCGTTGAGTGACCCCAGGCCAGTCCCTTCACCTCCTCGAGCCTCAGTTTCCTCATCTGTATAAATGGGGCCCATTCTAGCCCCTTCCTCATGAGCTGTCATGAACATCAAATGGGACCATCCTCCTTCCTGGTTCCAGAGTGAATATCCTCATTCTGGAGATGAGAAAACTAGGGAGAAAGAGATGAAGTCCCTTCACAAATGAAGCCTCAGAAATGTTGAGTCTGGAGACTCAAGGACTGCTCATAAAATAGCTGACTGAGAATGGGGGTCTCAGAGGCTCGAGGAGGTGAAGTGACTTGCCCCGTCACACAGCATAGCACAATTAACCCAGGCCTGGATTCTGGAATGATGGTGTTCCCTCTCCTCCTTTGGCTCACCCCAGACTGCTCTGAGCCCCGTCACCCTGATGACGCAGCTCTGTGGCCCAGGGTCAGGTCACAGCACTGCATAGGCCACAGGGCGGTCACCAGCCAGGGAAACAGACAGGGGAGCCCAGCCTGAACCCAGCTATGAGAGGAATGGGAGGGCCCAGGTTCAGTCAGCAATGTACCCATGCCTCCCTGGTCCCTATTCCCAGGGCCCCAGCAGAGCAGTTTTCCAGAATACTCAGGCTGGGACATCCATTTGCCCACCTCTCTTTCCTCAGCTCCAACCCTGTGGCTGGAGAGAGGCCCCGGCCATCCCGTCAGTCACCATGCAGTGCTCACCATGGGCTGCCATGCCACCTGCAGGGTCTTCACTGTTTCATTTCATCCTGGCAACACCCCTGGAAGGCAGACTCTGTTATCCTGCCCATTTCCCAGGTGAGGACACTGAGGCTCAGTGTGAGGAGCAGTAGGCTGCTGCAAGTGCACACTGTAGCCTGGAACCCTTCAGTGAAGGTACCCTCCCTCCAAGTGGGCACGAGAAGAATGCCACCCGGATGGCAGCACCCCACCCAATGCCTTTGCACAATGACTTGCACAATATACGGGAATCCCCAGCCCAAGGCCATACAGCTGGTGTGTGGCAGAGCTGGCGTGGCCCAGGAAGCCCTGGATACCCCCGTACCCAGGCTGGGACCAGAAGGCCCCACAGAGGGAGCTTGCAGACATCAGAGTTGGCCTGGCCCCAGTACCTGTCTAGCGCCCTGGCCTCACCATCGCCCAGATGCATGGCCTCCAGCAGCTGGGTTCAAGTTCATGGGTGCTGCCCCCACCGCTCCTCTGCTCTCACCCACTCCTTGAAGGCCCCAGAGACTGGGAAGGGTGCCCTTGGGAGGGGAGCCAGGGACACAGTAGCCTTAGTCTGGAAAGGCCCTGCCTGGGCCCACGCAGCCCCCACGTCCCGGGAACCCGCCGCTCCCCACCACAACTCCCCTGTGGCCTCCTTGGCAGCTGCCCCTCCTGGCTAGCTCTCCTGCCCCTCAGGCCCTCCAGCCTTCCCCTCTTCCTCCCACTAGTGAAGAGAGGGCACTGTTCCCAGCTCCCCTCCAGACGTCCGCCCGCTTCTAGCCTCCCACACCAGCCTGCGCGGCGGCGTCTCTGCAGGGGTTTCTGGCACAGGGCGACTCTGCTCTCCTCCAGCCACACCATTCCTCCCCAGCTCCGCTGAGGACTCCCCTGCCCCATGTCAGAACCCACCAGATCCCCTTCCTTTCCCACTTTGTGGTGAGTTCTGCCCCTACCCCAGCTGTGTGACTCTGTACACCCGACTCCATCTCTCCGGGCCTCAGTCACCCCCATCCCCATCTACGAACCAGGCTGTTGTTGGGAGAGACCCCTGCCATGCCATGGGTCATCACGTAGTGCCCACCACGGGCCACACCACCTGCAGAGTCTTCACTGCTTCATTTCATCCTGGCAACATCCTTGAAAGGCAGATTCTAATTCCCAGGTAAGGACACTGAGGTTCTGCGTGGGGAGTTCTAGGTCGCTGTGTGACCTCAGCTGTGTGACTCTGGGCACTTCACTAGATCTCTCTGGGCCTCAGGCAAGCCATCTGTGAACTGAACTGTCGTGGAAGCCTAGGGAGGTGAGACGTGTACGTCTCTCAAGAAACCCCTATGAGTGGTGGCTTCCATTAGCCACCACTAACAGAATCCCTTGATTCAGAGACTGTGCTTTCCCATATGCTGTTTCTGGAATCAGGATACCTCCTGTGACTGATTTTCACAATCATGTGCTGCTTTGGAGGCCCTGACTACCTCGTTCTATTGAGGTGTCTCTGAGCCTGGTCCTCAGGGCAGTTCTAGGCCTGTCCATCCTCTTTGGGGCCATGCTTGGGAACACAGATCTTGGTGCCTGAAAATTCACTGCTCACTGGTCTCAGCCAGGCAGCAAGGGTGGGAGGGCCTGACTGCTCAGCAGAGGGGCAGGTGTCTGGAGTACAGGGTTCTCCAGGTCAGTGTGGCCAGGCTTCAGGGAGGCCCGGGCTGCCCTTATGTGCCCCTGCTGGGTGCTCAGCCCTGAGAGGTCCTGAGCTGCCCTAACACGCACACACTGAAGGCAGAGGAGTGAAAGGAGTCTCTCTGCTTGGGACACGCTCTGTACACAGGTGCCCAGCTGAGCCTTCCCATCCCCTGGGCCCAGAGGTGGGGGCAGGGAGTGGAGCGGACAGAGCCTTCAGCCCACTACCTTCCCAAGGCTCAGTTTCCTCATCTGCAGAGTAGGTATAACCATTACTTCTCTGACCCACTGAACTGAATAAAATGGCTCTTTGCTTCCCTGTGGTGTCCATAACCACACTGTACAAGGGGGACCAAAAAAAAAAAACAAAACCCATAGCCGGGCTCGGTGGCTCAGCCTGTAATCCCGCGCCTT